CTACAATAGGATTGTGCCACGTAAGTTTAGTTTTTTTTTAAAGTGCTACGTAGGATTACAATAAAAAAATAAAAAAATAATCAGAGCGACACATAAGATTATTATTATTTTTAAAAAATTATCATGAATAAAATTAAATGATTTATTTGGTTGATTAATGGAACCAACATTATGATAAATTTTTACAAAAATTACATAAAGGAGGGTTTTTTCAAGATATTTAAAAGCGTCACATAAAAAAATATTATATTTAGCCAATGAAAATAAACTTGCAATTTATTTTCGATTTGGAATTTTATATTAATTATAAAAATAAAATAAGCGCGTTTTCTGTGTGGCTTACCATATCGTGTGGCCGGCTAAGACACACCAAATCACCGACCGGGTAACCCCTGTTCGTCCAGTAACCCCTGATCGATCGAGTAATCCTTGATCAACCGAGAGATTGTTATATACATCTGGATGTATCATCGTACACACTTGAGTATTTTGTTTCCATTTTGATGATTGTTTTTCATTTAATAATTAAATGAAGAGTAAAAACTAACCTGAGGTTAGTTGAGTGTACGGTGCATCCAGGTGTATATAACAAATTCTATGACCAACCGAGTAACCCCTGGCCAAGTAATCCCGAGCACACGGTGTGACCAATCACATATGAAACTTTGTGAAACAATATATTATCTTTTTATATTAGGAATTTTATCTAAATATGAGAAACAAAATTAATATATAATAAAAAATTCAAGTAGTATTAAGCGAATATCACAAAGTTTATCAGATAAATATTTATTTAGTAAAATATTTTATTTTAAAAAATACAAACAAACCATGCATCGCACGCCCTTCGTCTAGTTTAGAATAATATGGAGAAGTAAAATTACCGTGCATGGCACGGGACCTAACCTAGTTTATTAAATTATTACGCATTTAGTATTGATATATTCGTTTATTCTGTAATATATATACTTTGTCACACTGATACTGTCTTGTCTCTGGCTTTCAACACATAGCAATAAACTAGCTTAAGTACCGTGCCATGCACGGTTTTACTAAATTTTATAGTGAATTATATTGCAACAATAAATAGTTAGAATTTTAATTTATACCCATGCCAAAGACGTCAAGATTATTGATGCAAAAGACTTAACAAATAAAATGAAATGAAATAAATTTATGGACTATGAGGTTTTATAATACCCCTTATAAAAAAAAAAGAAAATTTTATATCAGTATCCATATGATACACACATACATGGATATACCCTTCGTCCCTAATTTGTTAACATATTTTGTTCGACATAATGTTTTTTGAAAATTTATTTGATTTTATTTTACTTTGTGATAATAAATAACCATTTTTTTATTTAGGGTTATTGAGTTGTCAGGGATTTTAACGTAATATATGAGTAGTTTATTTAAATTTTTATTAATATAATAACTTTTATTTAATTAATTATTTATAGGTTATAGCAAACATTATTATGTTGAAATGGGGAAGAAAAAATTGTATTTCCGACAAATTATATTTTTTTTTATTGATTAGTTAAGATTGTGGACGTATTACATTATTATAAAATTTTAGGAAATTCTACATGGTGGCCTCAAGGATTCAGTTTTTCTATGTGGAAGACGAACTTTTTTCCAACTCTCTTAAGTGGCACTATGGTTTTGAAAAATTAAGCATAGTGCCCATTTTTTAAATTTTTGGCTAACTTTTTTAATTTTTGGTTAACCATAAGTAATTGAAAAAAAATATTTTTTTGAAAGAAAAAAAATAAAAAAAGTGATTAATTAAAAAACTACCCCCACTATCCCAACCACCTTCCACGGCCACGCAGCCCCACCCCCCTGCCTGGCCCCAGGCGGAGCGCAGCGCCAACCACCCCCCCTCCCTCTGAACCGCCGACTCCCCTCCCTCTCACCCTGAAACCACCAACCACCCTCGAAATCCCTCTCCCCATCCCGATCTTAGCCCCCTCCCCTTCCCCCGTTCAAATTCCGGCCCCTCCTCCCCTTTCCTGTCCCGATTCCAACCCCCTTCCCCTTTTCGGTCCCGATTTCAGCACTCTCCCCTTCCCCTGTTGCGATTTCGACCTCCCTCCCCTTCCCCGTCTCGATTTCAGCCCCACTCACTGTCCCCGTCGACAATTTCAGCCGCCCGGTTAGCGGGAGCTGCGCTTGTCTCATTCTTTATTTTCGGTTAGGGGGAAGGGGAGGGTGGTCGAATCGGGGAAAGGAAAGGGAGTGGCTGGAGAGGTCTAGGGCGGCGGCTGGCCTGTGGGGTTAGGGTTCCGACAAGTTGGTGGTGGCTAGGTTTTTTTTTTTTTTTTTTAATTTTATTTTATTGTTTATAAAATATTTTTTAATTTTATTTTATTGTTTATAAAATAATTTTTTTATAAAAAATCAAAGGTTAACCATTTTAATCATAAAGGTTAGCCATAAAACCTTAAAAAGGGCACTATGCTTAATTTTTCAAAACCTTGGTGCCACTTAAGAGAGTTGGAAAAAAGTTCGTCTTTCACGTAGATAAACTGAATCCTTGAGGCCACCATGTAGAATTTCCCTAAAAAAATTTTAATTGAAAATATTTTTGCACAAAATTTTGACACATGATGTTATTAATATGAAGAATAGAAAAGTAAAGAATTTACATTTATATATGTTACTGAGTATTAAAATATTTTCTTCTCTAATTGAAATAGACTTTATTGCCAAAAATAATAAAGCGGGAGAAAAAAAAAATATACATAGTCATTGAATAAAAAAAAATTATACATAGTCATTGGCCAAAAATAGACTTTATTGCCAAAAATAATAAAGCTAGAGTATTTTAATTATATAGTACTTTAAATATGGAAATAAAATATTATAGTTATTGAGGTTTGACCAAAACAAAAATTAAAAAAAGAATGGAAAAAAAGCGAAAAAATATTTAATCAGGAGATGACACGTGTCATTCCTGCTTCGCCTTTAGTATATAGTTAGTACATAGATGCAAGATTTATGTAACTATGACAAATAAATAAAAAAAGAAACAATGCAATATAAATATATATATATATATATATATATATATATTTTTTTTTTTTCCCAAAACTTTTTGTAATATGTTTACAGGTATAATGTATTGTTGAATTAATAATTCCGTACGTGATGACGTGGTGCGTTGTGTGAAGTACGGATTATCAAAATTTACTTGTCATTGTTCCAGAATACTTTAAAACGACAATTTAGTTGTGCAGTATAAAACTACTCTGTATATGAATTTGTAAAAGTAGAAAAATTTGGTATATAAACATCTGCAAAATTATTATTATGAATATAAATTGACTATGATCTACGAGATAGCATTAACCAATCTAAATTTTGAGCGATTTCATGTATATGGCTAAAAGAACTCAAAATTCCGCAATTGCTCTACTTTTTATCAAAACTGGCTTTTGAACCCGTTCTACGCACAGGTTGTGGCTAAGTTATTTGTTTTATTTAAAACTTTACAAATCACTTGAATGAATTTATTTCATCGTCTTTTGATAATTTATAACATTTTATGAATTAGTAGTAATAATTGTAGAAAAAATGGCTTAAAATTGTAAAATCAAATCTCTATTTGCATGGTAGTTAATCAACAAATTGTATAAAAAAATCTAAATACCAAACACTTTTATAATATATTTTATATTTTTACATCAAATATTAAGTTATGAAATTCTTCTTTGCCAATATATTTCTCTTATAGTGCGCTTAATATCTTGAAAATGAAGACCCTATGACATGCAAACAATGTCATCCTAAGGAATTTCGGAATTTCTATAGTATTCTTGCACGAAATTCTTCATATTTCTTGTCAAATTCAAGTCTTTTTTCTTTGTTGCCTCAATATTTTTCTTTTCAATCATCATCTTCATTGTTGTAGAAATTTTACATAGAATTTTGAGAGATATTTCTTTTTTTTTTTTTTTTTTTTTTTTTTTTTTATTTTTGGAACTTAAGTGACGTGAAAAAAGCTTTTATTGAAAATTTGTATTTACATTAGAAGAGAGGGAAGATAAGGGGTTAATGATTGAATGATGAATGTGAATAAATTGAATTGAAAGATGGAGGGAGAAGAGGAGAAGGTTTAGGAATTTAATTTGTTGAATTAAAATAGAGATTACAAAATATAAAGAGTTATTGAGAAATAAAGGGGGAGATGAAGAGAATTTCTTTGAAAACATAAGGAAAGGGGTTAAGGAAAGAGAATGTTTTTTAAGATAAATGAGGAGATATATTAATTAAACAAATCCAAGTACATGGCTAAACCAACCCCATTGTTCAAAAGCAAATAAGTACTGCAACCAAACAGAGTTATAAAATAGTTTAAAGACAACAAACATATGAAAATTTTCTCCTCATTTAATCCAATCAAAGAAACATCTAAAGACTTGCGCTTCATATCAGTAAGTTGAAGAGATTTTCCTCATAAGAGAATGATTATTAAGAAAGGTGAAAGAGGAGGGCATGTGACAACTTTGGTTTGTGTTTTTAAGTACTAAGTATAGATAGATTCTCTGCATACCGTCCACGTCATCCAACATCTTTTAATATGAATTTTTTTCTTTCCTTATTTAGAGCAAAACCGCTTATGATTTTGCCTTAAATCAATTAGCGGTTTTACGTTACATTAAACCCACATTATTAATAAGGTGATTTTTTACTTAGATAACCTGTTAATTGAATTAGCGGTTTTATATAAAGTAAATCCGCTGTGGGTTCGTTTGGTATTGTTGTGGTTTTTTGTTTTTCAAAATCATATAATATATAAAGTAAATAATAGTCAAACTTATTAAAATCATGGTAATTTTAAAAACTGACAACAGAAAAGTGAAAACACCTTTTTCTTATTTCTTATTTTTGGTTTTTTGTTTTAAAAAAAAAAAACCGAAAAAAAAACGATGCCAAACATTTGTCTTACACAAAAAAATAAAATAAAAGCCAAACATTTGTTTTACAAAAAAAAAAAAAAGAGATAGATTAGTGTAATTGTGGAATTTTAATTTCTTTTTACAATTTTTATGGAAATCACTCCTAATTTTTCTTATCTTCTCCAAGGGCTTAAGAAAAAAAAAAACACAATCATTAAAAACAAGGTTTCTCATATTTATACACTTATTAAATTTAATTTAATTAAATCCAAAATTTATAAATAATAAAAAATAGTTCAAAATTCACTGTAATAGTTCGTTGTAAAGGGTGATCCAGTACCAGCAGAATTAGACCCATCAACAACAACACAATTCCATCACTCCGTTTCCTTCAATTTTTCACTGTACGTTTATGCCTCAGCTCAAATGGCTCGCAAATCTGCCAAATTCCTCCATAATTACGGTAATATTAACTTCATAATCCATTTTTTTTTAGATTTATAGGGTTTTAATTGTGCTAATCTCATGAATTTGTATTAATTTTTTAAGGGTATGATTTGATTTTGGGAGCAGTAGCTGCATTCTATGTATTTGCCATACCTTATACTAAAGTTGAAGAAAGCTTTAATATGCAGGTATTATTACACTGAAAACCCAGAATTTTAATTTGTGGGTTTTGTTAAAATTTCAGTTTTTCACCCAGTTTATCATTTTTTTGTTTAATCGTTTGTTGTTATTGTTTGATTAAATAGGCAATGCATGATATACTATATAATCGGCAGCATTTGGCTGAGGTATGTTAATTTGGGTGATGTTTGTGCATTGAGGTTACAGTGATTATGCTAATTCTTTTTTTTTTTTTTTTTTTTTTTTTTTTTTTTTTTTTTTTTTTCAATTGGTTAATTTTAATGGTTAATGATTCACTTACAACAGTATGATCATTTGGAGTTTCCTGGTGTCGTTCCGAGGACTTTCATTGGTGAGATTTTATGTTTGTTATTGCCCATTGATTGTTGTTTTGTGTAGTGAAATTTGTGTATTCTTAGTATCCAAAGTCATGGGTTTTTGCAATTTTAAACAATTGCTATTGTTTTGTGGACCGGAAATCATATTATTCTTGAGATTGCCAAATGATCGGGGAGAAGTAGCGATCATAAGCTGTAATTTTTTTCAATATTTAAGGACCTAAGGTGGATTATGAAAGGTTGCTCCTGCTAAAGATTGTTTCTTTGCCTAGATTGGGGGTGGGGTTGAGAATCCCCCATAAGATGTTTTAAAGAGAGGAATTTTAAGGTAGCAATTAGGTGGTGGACCCTTTGTTAGCAAGAGGATGAATCAGTGTTCCACCTTTTAATTTTCTGCCCTCAAACGTTCTCTCCTTGGCTTTTGAGATTTTGTTTGAGTGGGGTATTTCGGGTTCAAGTTGGCCAGATCAAAAACGTGTTGGTAGCATTGATAAAAAAAGGTAAAGTAGAAGTGCTTTGTTGAAAGAGAGGAACCAGAGGGTTATTAGGGCATAGCTTGTTCACAAAATCAAGTTATTATTTTTGGCACATCTGTATGATCGGGAAAATGTTCCATTTGGGCATCGCATGTTACTCCTTAATTTTGCACATTATATCATGAGCGACTATAGTTTGAGGACTCTCCCCTCTCTTGCTGCTGTCTACACATGGCAGTTGGCAATTTGGCATCCCTTTGCGGCGGAGGGTATGTTGCTTTTGCACCTAGCCCTCCTATTATAAATGGGTGTCATCTCTTTGGGGTTTTTCCAAGACAACTCCCTGTTCTTTTGTCAACTATAAAATTATGGTTAATAGATTTTGTAGGCTAGGGTCAGATTGTGCCTCATTATTGGGTAATACGTAAATGTGCTTATACGGTTTAGGATCATTGTTGTTAGAGCTCGAAATGTGCTTCATGCATTCAGATTTTTACTATGTTCATCTGTAGTTCTGTACGACTAGGAAGCCCGTGGAGGCTTTGCTGCAATGTCATCAGAAAATTGTGGATCATTCGAGTCTATGTCTTTGATTGCCATGGCAGTAGAACCAACTCGATAGTTATAATTTTTAAAAAATCAGTAATAAACTAATAACTCGTCAGTTCAATCAAATCTCAAAGTTTGATTACTCATAGGTTAGGTTTCAAGAAAATTTTCTCTTAACATTGTTATCTTTTTTTCTGTTGGTAGGTGCTTGGGTTGTGTCCATTTTGGCATCTCCTTTCGTATCAGTCATCAATTTTCTGTACTTGCCTAAGATCTATAATCTCTTTGTAGGTGAGATTCTTTGATCTTTAATACATAGCTGAAGTCTGTCTTCTCTTTCTTTCGTCAATTACTATGAATTTTTTTTTGCAGTTTTAAAAACTTGTCATTTCTTCAGTCTAGTTTACACGACACATTAATTATGAAACTACCTATATACTGCTGGATGGCTTGATCTGGTTGTGCTTGTCTTTGAATAACTCATGTAATTCTTGATATTTTATTATATCTGTCTTTCACTAGTCCTATATAGTCTTGTCCATGACATGGATTTTGTGATTCTTTCTTTTCTGTCTAGTTCGTTTGGTGTTAGGTTGCATCATACTTTCCACCTTACGCTTTTTCCGGCTTCAGGTATGTAGTTTCTTCTGACTGTTACATATTTTTATAAACTTAATTTGATTTTACTTGTGTGCCTTTTGTCTTTTGATCTTTGTTTGCCTTTGCATCTACTAAATCTAAGTTGTGATGTGTTTGTCAATCACATGGATCTAATAACCAATTGATGATAAGATTAGGAAGTGGTGGCTGCCTTCATGTAGTGTATTAAATATTTCTTGAGATTTTTGATTAAACAGTGTCCTTTTCCTACAGGATCTTTATAAAATCTCTCTATAAAATGAATTTTCTATTTTGATTACATATTGCTTGTTTGTTGCTACCGATTTAGGCCTTTTTAAGTTTCCACATGGGCAGAAAGATCTATTAGTCAAATTCTTGTATATTAGACGAGAGGCCAACATATCGACCAAAATTTGAATGCTAAATTAAATAAGGTGCATATAATATCCCATGTGTTATGCAGTTATGCTTTACACCATCGTTACTAGCTTAGATTTTTAAAATTTCTGCTTTGGTTCCATATCTTAAAACTGAATTCTACCAATTACTTACACTGAGCTTTGCTTTGTTATTACAGATCCGAAGCAAGTTTGGTCTCCAAGTAGAAGGTTTCTTTGTACTATTAACAGCTCTTCAGTTTCACTTGCTATTTTACAGCACACGTCCTCTTCCAAACATACTGGCATTGGGTTTAGGTGAGTACCTTTTATATCTATCTTTTTCTATGTCTCTCCTATACCATCATTGACCTAGGTGAACCTCATATTTCACTCAAGTCTAATTTTCTCCTCTTCGTTTTTCTTTCTGATGGAGGTGAACATTATCATTTATGATTTTTCATTTGTCGTCTTGGACTGGAAATTAGAAAGAACTATTACATGATTAGTAGTCAACTGCATTGGGTGATGGTAACTTGATTAAAATCCTATTACCATACATTTAAGGACCTTGAGGTCATTTTTACTTCACATGATTCCTTGCACGGGACAAGGAGCTGTTTCTTTTCTTTAATTTCTTCCTTTGAAATTTGAATCCAGAATATGCTTGAGATATGGATGCCTAAGTTTTCTTCATCTGCTTACTAGTCAAGTTACTAGCTGAATGCTTTACTTCCTGAACTGATGTGTCACTTGTACTGCAGTCAATATGGCGTATGGTTACTGGTTAAAGGGGAGCTGTTATACAGCATTACAATTTCTGGTGCGTCTTTCCTGTCGTGTACATTCAATCCCGAGATATAACTCATCTATGGTCAATGTTCGGTGATATTAAGCCTGAAAAGTTCAATTTTCAGTGATGTTCCTTGAGGGCTTGAGGCTGCACAATATTTTGATTTAACAGGATCCATGAAACACAAATGCTTGGAAAACCTCTTTTATCCATTATTTTTTCAGTCTTAGCATATGATGATTTAAGGTTGACCCAACTAAGAATTTCTCTAGCACAAGATTTTTTCTGGAGTATATAAGTTTTTCTTTTTGGATGGAGGAGCAAAAGATACTGCAGGGACTACCGTCTTTTAAGTTTGAAAGAAATGGAGAATGTTTAGGTTGGGGTCCCGCCTATAACTGAATTGGGCATCAAATGTTTTTCCTGGCATCTTTGTAGAACAGTAGATTATTAATGTTCTAGGTGTGCCTCTGTTTCTCTACCTGTTTGATTCACTATTTTTTCTCTTTCCTTGGATAACACATGAGCACATAATCCTTTACTTTTAGCTATATGGTATTTCAAACATTTCACAATATATTCTATGGGTCATAGATGCACTCATTTTTTAATCGTGTAACATCAGTTTTCCTTTTACTCAGACTTGTAGTATAGGCTCTGTGAATCCATCCTTTTACTCCCTCTATCCTATGACTAGTTGACTACCCATTTAGAAACTTGTTTAAGAAATTGTCTCTCTACTATTTCACGCTGTCTAGAGGTAAGGCTGCGTAGATCTGGAATTCCCCTAGATCTTGTGTAGTTGTGTACAGTGGAAGCCATGCTGGAAACTGTTGGGCCCCTACGGGTCCCTGGTTTCTTTTTTGGGTTAATAAAGCGTTCTGCTCTCTCTATGTCAGGTTATTGCAACATTGATTTTCAGATGTGATGTGTTACTGTTAGCCTGCCCCATCGGTCTTCAGCTTTTGTTGGTATGTTTTTGACAGATCCTAAAGAACTCTACATTTTTTCTCCTTTTGTGATTATTATATATCTTTTATTTATTTCACATATCCATCGTATATGCTTTCTTGTTGAAGAACAAGCATTATTTCAATTTTCTGTTTTTGATTTTGGCATGTATGTTCCTGCATCATCAGTTTTGCATGTTAGAAATTATTTCCAATTGAACTTACAATTAACTTGCCATCATATACTAATTGAAATAAGCTCTTTGCCATTGTAACGGTAAGGATAAATTTTAAGGGATTACATTCTTTGTCTTTTCAGTACAATAGCCTTTATGATGTTTTCTTGTAAGAAAAAAGAAATTATGTGTACTAAATCAGAAGTGAAATGGTGATAAATTGACAAGAGGAATTCCTTTTTTTTTTTTTTTTTTTTTCTTTTCTAATGAACTATTGTGTCGCTGCATATCGAATCTGATTTGTTTGAATTATATCGACTACATTTCTGGCCCTAAATTTATTGGCAGATAATTATTTAAGTGTCAGATCTTAGCAATTACAAGGACAATTGCACTATTTTAGTGGAACATTAAGTGACTTGCATTCTTAGCCTTAACAGCTGCGATGCTTTAGCTATTGAAATTTTCAGAACATTAAGCTGAATTTACTTTACCTATGGTGATTTGCAAATTAGAGTTTACAAGTTACAAATTGTTTCACTCATTGTTTTACTGACCAAAATTTTCTATGCAATGGCAGAGCAAATCAGTCTCATTGTGGAAAGCAATTAAATGCTGTTCCACGGCAGCTATACTTTCCATAGGTTGGTAACTTTACCTCTGATAATATCTTATAGAGTATCACAAATTACTCCTGCCCCCCATCCCCGCAAAAAGTTTGACATTAATCTCCTTTTGTCACCCTTACACGCCTCCTCCTAGGAAAAAAGAAAGATGTAAAAGAGTAATGTACCTACACTCCTACAGAGTGTTTGATGATTATCAATTTATCAACCAGTGGCTAACCTTTTGATTTTGTGCACAATATTTGCAGGTCTTACCATTCTAGTTGATTCAATAATGTGGAGACGGGTTGTTTGGCCAGAATTTGAAGTTTTCTGGTTCAACTCTGTGTTAAATCGGAGCTCTGAATGGGGTGTATCCTTCCAGCAGTGAAATTCCTCCCCCCCCACCCCACCCTCTTCTTTGTTCTCTGTTTTGGCTGTGTTATGGTAGGCTGGGTGTCACTGATCGATATAGCTTTAGGACCATCTATATACACTAGTTGAATCTTTATTTCCATAGCTTGTCCTTAATACTATCGCCTTAGGTCTCTTCAATTCACTGGTATTTCACTTCAGCGCTTCCCAGGTCACTGCTTGCGGCATATCCACTCGTTCTGGTGAGTGTGAATATGAAATATATACTTCTTTCTGCAAATCCATACAATTTCATATTTTCATGATGTTTCGATTTGCATGATGATATCATTACTAGGTTTTGAAAGTTTCATGGGCAATGAGAAGTCCCTTTGATTGTTGGTTTTTTACTTTTTTGTATAGCCCTTTTGCATAATTGCATGTATACCTTGTAATCGGGTATCTGATAGCTTTTCTGTTCAACTACAGCTCTTATGATTCTAGATCCCTTACACTATTGTAATCTTATTTGAGAAGTCCTTTTACAGCTTGGTCTGTTACTTGATAGGAGGATTTTACCCTATCTGCTCCCAGTTTTGTCCTTTGTGATCCTGTATTCCAAATTACCTCACAAGGTATGATTCTCTTGTATGTATTCATATGCTTAATTATAGCTATCTACGGGATCTAAGTACAGTAAATTTGAAATGTTGCAGGAATTACGATTTGTCATTAGTTCTATTCCAGTTTTTAACATGACTGCTGCAATATCAGCAAGCAGAATGTATGGCTTTCGGTTTCATCTCTTTTGTTAAATAAATTTCATTATCTCATGGTTTCAAAAAAAAAATAATTCATTATTTCATTGAGTAAATTTTGGACGTGTCTAGCAGATTGGTCTGTGTTTTAAATTCTGATAATAAATCCGCAGTTGACTTTGTTATGGAATACATGCTTGCCTGTCTTTTTATTTAAAAGTGTGCTGTCTTTACTACTTATTTAGGCTGTAATTTGGTTTTTGCATGTAATTTATTCTAAATGAAGTCTCTAGGTATTAGGTATAATGGTATGTTGTTCCTTTGTATATTTGATAGTATTTTTTTTTTTAATTTATCATTTTTTTGTGTTACAGATACAATAATAGGAAAAAGAGCTTTTGGAGGTTGATTTATTTTGGAATGCTTGGCCTATTCTTAATCAGGTAAATTCTATGATAGAAGTAGCAAGTTGTTAGAAAGTTATAGCTGAATTTCTTTTGCTCATTCTGTTTTTTATCATCCACTCTGTAGTTTAGGGTGCACAATATTATTTTTCATGGCATCATACCATAATTATCCCAGTGGCTATGCTCTAAGGAAGCTTCATGAAAAGGGTTTGTGCTCTCTCTCTCACTCTGCCACCCCCCCCCTCTCTTTCCGTGGATGAACTTGTGTAAGAGGAACATGTAATCACATAATTTACACAGAGGAGATTTTACTCTTTCATTATGCCAATCTTACTGTTTTTTTTAACAACAAAAGCTATTTTTTGTCATGTCTTGGCTGTTCATGTAGAAAAATTTTCCTGTCTTGATTGCTGGTAACACAGTTATAGTGTTCATGGTGTCATGGTGTGCTCTTTACTTTCAGATCTCATTGCTTATCTTCAGCTGTTTACAGTTGGAGGAGAAAAGGAGAATGTTGGTTAAAGAAGAGGGAGATGGGTGTGAGGGTAGGAGAGAGATCAAGGAAAATTATCTTTGTTTGCATGGCCTCTCAACCACTACAAATTTTAAAATGAAAGTTCATCATAATCATCATTAAGAGACTCCATCAGGCTGCTCCTCATTTCTCTCTCTTCTGGACTGAACCAAGTGTAAAGTATTATTTCCAAACTCTTTTTTTTCCAGGTCTTTAACTGATTTTCCACTGCCTTAATCAAAATTCATGCAGTTTTTATTTTGCTGACCTATAATGGCTATAAGTTTTATATATGTCCCGTGAAAGCTTCAAGAATTTCACATGCTGTAATTTGTGTAATTACCACTTTTGTGTAGAACTTTTTGTTGGCTTGAGTAGACGGTTTTACATTTTTCATGACATATATTGGCATGGCCAATTGCCCAATAAAGAGGGTAGTTCTACCTGGGAAGAAGGGTTATAAGTGCCAGTTGCCCATGATGAAGAGTGTCCATGATAGGCTGTCTGTAGCAGGATTTTAGTTCGAAGTTGTTGATTCATTATCCGTTTAACCTCTTCTGATTTCATCTACAGTTTCTACACCATTTTGATTCTTTGTAGTCAATCAAGTACAATTTGCTGACCATTGAAGCAAATTGTTTTGGAAAAATCAAACTGCGGGGTTATAATTTGTGGTTAAAGGCTGGGACTTAGTTGATATCCATATCCTTGGGTATTGGAACAGGTATCTTTGTTTCTTTTGGTAGGAAGGGGATGTTCTGTAAATAATTTTGCCCTAGGAGAGAGTGGCCAATATCTTTTGTGCCGAATTCTGTCCTGTGGTAGCTATCAAACATGTTCAGCTATACTCATATGAATCAACTCCCATTGCTTCTAGAGCAGACTTTCATGTTGAAACTTTTGGTTGTGTTGGCAGGTCATTTGAACAGCACTGGTGAAATTTCTGTTCACATAGACACTTATTCAGCAATGAATGGAATTACCCGCTTCTGTGAAAGTGGTCATCCGTGGAGGTACGCTTTGCTGAGCCTCTCATTCATTTATACTTGTCTATTAGGAAAGGCAAATGGTTCGTACCTTATTAGGGGAGGGTGTTTGTTTGTCATTTGAAAGTTGAGTTTCTCCTTATTCTTTCTTAAATACAAGGACAATCAATTATCTCATGGAAATTTCTGCTAGCCATGCACGCCCCATACTTCTAATCTCATGATAATTGACGCCCTCCACAATTTTCTTCTTAGTAGCCCTTATTTTCCTAAGAACTGTAGCCTTGATTAGAAAGTGTTATATGTTTTGTGATCTCTTGATTGATATTGTTCTTGGCTGGACTGCTGGAGGTGTGAGCTTTGTCGACGCCCCCTCGTAACCCAACGTCCCAACACCTTTTTCTTATAATTATATTGTGTGGGGGGAGAGAGGGGGGTGCTAAGAATCGTTGCAGAAGTATGTAATGTTGACATCCTGTTTGTACAGGATTTTAACTTCACCTCTGTGCTCTTTGATGCAGGTACTCCAAAGAGGAGAATTTAGCTTCTCAAGATTATTATCATAGAAATTTCACCTACCTTCTGAAGTGAGTAACTGATTCTCTGGATATGCCACTTCAATATAAACAATTTAATAAATTCTACTGATGTTTCTAATACAATATTTTTTTTATGCCAGTGAGCGCTCCCATATTGATGGATATCAATGCTTGTTCGCGATGGATGGATTTTCCAAGGTTAATCTTCGAAAGAGTGGTCCACCTGTTGTACTGGTAGGAAACTTTCAATGATGCAGGATGCAACTTAGAAATGATGTACTTTGAAGGCTATTTAAAATGATGTATGATTCTTATGTTTATGTTGCAGGTGAAAGAACCCAAGGTGTATGCTCACGGATCTATGAGCAACATGGAAATTTTGGGCCGAAATTTTCCAGGATGTAAATTTTAATGAATTCATTCCAGGAATCGATCCATCAGCTCCCGCTCTTTCTTAAGCATTTTACCTAATGCTGCTTGTGATGTTTCGAGTTGTAGAGCTGTTTCTGGTTTCCCCATGTCATATGACTCTAGTCTTAAGTAAATGTTGACAATGTAAATTTATCTTTTTGTTTTCAGCCATTGTTTTTTTATAGAAGAAACAACAAAGTTTGTAGATGGGTCAAATACCCGATATAAAATTGATATCATAAAGCAAATTTTTATACTCCATATTCGATGTCCACAAATTCCTTTACCCAAAGTTTCAATACCTTCTTGAAATTTCATTATTGCTACTAATACTCATAAAGTTGTAAGTTGTAATCTTACTTCATCTTTAAATCATCCGGAGTATTTTCAAACCAAAATCAATACTCCATTTCAGAATAATCACATCACTTTTCTTTTTCATTCATTTTTTTTATAATTGCAATACTTCATTATTAGGAAAATGCATTAAATTGTTTCACAAACTCAACTTTATATTACTAAAATCACACTCTCCCGTTATAAACAATATAAAATCAATCCTATGACTCCACTTTGTATTAAAGAAAAAAAAAACCTAATTTTCTTTTCACATAATTGTTCCATTAATTTTTTTTTTTGGGAGAGAATTCCATTAGCTTCAATTAACAAGAAGTACCAGTATTATATAAGCACAATTTTTGTCCTACAGCCTATTCTAGTGCGTTATGCTCTCTTTACCTTATTTTTTATGGTTTGAATTAATTGTCCGGCTTGAATTAATTGCCTAGTTTACTATCAAATTCGTTATACAGTACTCTATATTCCATTATGGTTTGATCTGATCCGATCTCATCAAATTTTAACATTATTACGATTCATCCGAACTGGAAGGACTATCAATTTTGGTATACCCTAATCTTTGGGTTGTTTAGTTTTGCAGTCTCCAAGTCATAGAAGAGCCCAAAACCACACCCAAGTTGAAGCACTGATGACGTGCACTCTATCTTCTCCCCTTATTCAATACTCAGCTCCCACCATTACCAAACCAAAAACACAACTTTTCTTCATTTCCTCTCAAAATCAAAATCAAAATCAAAAACCCTAAATCCCAAAAAAATGATTCTTCAATCTACACTCTCACCTTCAACACCCCATTCTCTCTCCTCAAATTTCTCATCAATTTCTCTCTCTTTCCCATCTGGGTCTTACTCCTTCATCTCTTTTCCAACTGCTAAACCCCTTAATAAATTTTCTGTAAAATGCTCTGTTCCTCAAGTTTATAGTCATGGAACTTTGGACTATGAGAAGAGACCAATGCCAAAATGGAACAATATATATAGGAAGATTGCTTTGATGGATAACCCAGAATTTGGGGTTGCTTCTGTGTTGAATCAGTTTGAGAATGAAGGTAAAAGGTTAACTAAATGGGAACTTTGTAGAATTGTTAGAGAGCTCAGAAAGTTTAAGAGATTTCAGCTTGCTCTTGAGGTAATTTTTTTTTATTTAATTTTGTTTTGATTTGGGGTTTATTTAAATTATTTTATGTGGTGAATTTTGTTTGCTTATAGTTGAGTTTGAATTTTTGGATTGTGGGGTAAATATTGATACAGAAATATCATTTTTTGAGGTTGTTGAATTAATATATTGTGTGTATGTTGGTAAGAGAAATTTGCAAAAATTGAGTAATGTAACAGTTATATAAACTTATCCCCATTTGGCATTTGCATGGATGGTAACTAGCTTAGTTGGTGAAGACTCGGTAGATGGTATCTAAGGCGCGTGGTCGAATCTTGTCTACATCACTGCCTTTGTTTATGGTTCAGAACATCGAATTTATTTGGTTAGGGATATGCTGCTTAGGTTAATTGTTTAATTAATTTTAAAGTCCTGACTTGTCCTTGAAACACAAGTATAAGGATTTTATTAAACAATAAAACTACAATAATGTGACTTTTGTACCCTTTGATATTGGCAATTGGTCTGGTGATGCTGCTCTAGTGTCATTTCATCTGAGCATTCTTATATATGCTCGTTAAAAAAAAAAAATTGAAATTTCAGTAGTATTACTTTTGTACAATTTCCTCTTATTGGAGGACAGGAGGAGGTGCAGGGAATATCAGGTATATCGAAAATATAAGGCTTGCCTAAGTGGAAGGGGTTTTTGAGAGGTTCTTCTTACTCCTAGAGCAAGTTCTTTTCATCTGCACTACTTTAGATGTGGGAAAGCTGTATTTCTAACTCCAGAATCAATGCAAATTCACTTCCTTCCATCTGGCTTGAGATACCTATATGTTGGTCAATTTTTGCTTACCATGTAGCTGTTCAATTTTTGATTACTTGGTCCTTTCATGCTCTTCAGCATGTATCTATTGGAAATTTGTAAAAGGGTTTTATTCAAATGTTCATTGTATAATTCTTTTTGGTTCCTGTGCTTTTGAACCTTTGTTGGGCTAATTGTAGCTTAATAAATTTTTGACCCGTCCAGGTTTACGAATGGATGAGTAACAGAATAGAGAGGTACAAAATAACCAGCAGCGATACAGCTATCCAACTAGACCTAATTGCCAAAGTTCGTGGAGTTGCAAGTGCCGAAGAATATTTTGTAAGGGTACCTGACACTCTCAAAGACAATCGAATTTTTGGAGCTCTCCTCAATGCCTATGCGGGTGCGAAAGTAAGGAACAAAGCAGAATCCTTGATGGGGCGAATGAGAGATAAAGGTTACCTTAATCACCCTCTTCCCTTTAATGTGATGATGACTTTTTACATGAAAATCAACGAATACGACCAAGTCGAGAAACTGGTTTCTGAAATGAAGCAGAGAAGCATACCGCTTGATCTGTACTCTTACAATATTTGGCTGTCTGCACGAGGTTCGTATGGTTCTGCTGAAGGGATGGAACAAGTTTTTGAAGAAATGAAGTTGGAACCAACAATTGTTCCTAATTGGACTACTTACAGCACTGTAGCTGCTGTTTATATCAAGTTGGAAATGCTTGAAAAAGCAGGACAATGCCTTAAAGACCTTGAGACAAGAATCACTGGACGAGACAGGATGCCTTATCATTATCTTATAAGTCTCTATGGTAGTTTGGGAAACAATGAAGAAGTTTACCGTGTTTGGAACACATATAAATCAACTTTTGCCAATGTCCCAAATTGGGGCTATCATTCTGTGATCTCTTCACTTGCCAGGTTGGCTGATATTGAGGGAGCTGAGAAAATTTACGAAGAATGGCTTTCAGTGAAGGCTTCATATGACCCTAAAGTTGCGAATCTTCTCATGGGATGGTATGTTCGGGAAGAACCTTTTGAGAAAGTCAAGAGTTTCTTTGACCACATGGTTGAAGATGGAGGGAAGCCAAATTCAGGCTCGTGGGAGATTCTTGGAGAAGGTCATATCAAAGAGGGAAGGATTTCTGAAGCATTATCTTGCTTCCGGGAAGCAGTGTTAGTTGACAGTCCATCAAATTGGAGGCCTAAACCTCCTAATGTGTCTGCATTTATAGAGCTATGTGAACAAGAAGCTGACCATACCAGCAAAGAGGACTTCATTGTATTATTGAAGCAACTTGGTTGTTTACAAGATGAATCGTACAGGTCACTTCTGGTTGGACTCAGTGACATTGATATTGGCATGGATGAAGGGCAGTTTGTCTTTAATAAAGAAGCTGAAGAGATGGAGAGCGAAGAACCTGAAATGCTGTTCTCAGTAGCGGAGTAATTAATAATCTGATATTCAGTTACTCCGTATAGAGATGAACGGTGCATGAGGTGCATTGTTGTGAGAGCTAGTTTTCTAAGCACAGGGTGGTCAGAGTAACACTATTCTTGCAGCTTCTACCATGATGAGATGGCATAGGCTATCAGTTTACCTCTCACGACCTCCATTTTCTCAGAAGAATGTTTGAATATTTATCAAAAAATTCCAAATGACTGGATTGTGAGTAATTAGGTTGCTTAGTTTTCTGAATTGAGTTGGGCTACAAAGTATGGTTGATGGATTATGTAGTTTACTAGTCATGTATATGAGCTCTTTCATTGCAGAACCTTGAAATATACTGATACTTTAGACTTCCAAAATGAAGGATTAGTAAAATGTTGATCCTTCACAATTTTGAAATTTAGTAGAAGTAATTCTTGTATCAATGATTTTGGCTTTGGGATTATCATGTTGGAGTATCGGAATATATACGAAGTTACGTGTTGAATCATCACAAAAAGGCACCGTTTATAAAGGTCAATTGGAAATAGCCACTATGTGTTATTGTAGGACAGTAGAAGAAAGTCTTCAATCCTTATAAGTTGAAGTTGTCGATGATTGCTTAACTTGCAAGAATCATGCAATTGCAATACTAGAATATCAGAGGAAGGATGACAAGATTCTTGCCCTTAGAAGTTAGCTAGAAAGCTAGGCATTAATCTATGCCGTTAAAAACCTTTCTTTCATTAAAGGGAAAAACAAAAGCTATCAAAATCTCCTCCCAATGCCAATGCTAACTTGTAAATTTGATATTGGCTTTTGTGATGACATGCATTAAAGTACAAGTTGATTGAAATATTTTCTTGACGAGCTTTTTACTATTTTTGTGTACCGAGTCCAAGACATTCATAAAAAAAATAAATAAATAAATAAATTATGCAAACGAAACTATCTCAATTACACCCAAAAACTTTATAACCAAACTATCTATTTAATATATCATTCGTCCATTCAATAAGGAGTCAAACATGAGAAAATAAATTATGCAAACGAAACCTATCTCAAGTAACATGCCAAAATTTTAACCAAATAAGCTAGCGTGCAATAAAGAGTTGGAACTTCTCATAACTGCCTCAAATAAATTTAACTTAACAAAATGAAATAAAACCAGATTCCACTAGAAAAAAATATTGCTTCCCAAAAAATACGGTAGGCTTGTGGTAGACACACAATCTCCATTCTCCATTCTCCATCTTCGAAGCAAGCAAACAAGCAGGAGAAGCCACAAAAATGGCAGCAATTCTTGCAAAAGCAGCGGAAAGAGTTGGCCCATCTATCCGCCGCCAAGCCCTGACCTTGACCGACACCGCTGCCACCCGCATACGCCAGCTTCTCCAACAACGCCAGCGCCCTTTCCTCCGCCTCGGCGTCAAAGCTCGCGGTTGCAACGGCTTGTCTTACACCCTTAATTATGCTGGTACTCTTTCTTTTTTCTGTTTTTATTCATGGGTATTTGCAGATCAGCTTGATTTTAGCTTTATTTATCATTTTTAATCTGTTCTGTGATTTGAGCTTCTGAGATTCTTTGTTTTGCCTGATTTGTTTGTTTTTTTAAGATTGGGTTTTAGGATTTATGTTAGATTTGCAATAGAATTTGATGAGATGATGAGAAATTAGTGGGGTTGATTGTTTTGTCAAACCCTATGTCGGGTATTGTTAGAGCTGAAGAAGGGGGTGGGGGGAGAGGGTTAGACTGGATATGGGGTCAAAGAAATGGGCTTTTCGGGCCATCTTGGGCTATATCGATTGCGTCTAGTTAGCATGATTATGGAAATAATCCGAACTATGATGCTAGCTTGAATTGAATTTTTTATGCATTGGATGGCCTGAAGGATCAGATATAGGTGCAATGCTAGTTGTGTCATTTATGGTATAAGAAGAGGTGATGTTCTTGTTAAGAAAAGGTGAATCTTGTCCTATACTAGTTTGTTTCAATGGTGTGATGTCTGTGGATTGTTACTGATGTACTTATAAGCGGGCTTAGGGTCCAAAAACAATGCAAGAGTCCCTCTATATTAATTGGATGATCCAAATTGACAAGCATGTACTGCAAGTGGAAGTTCAGATTCGGAGGAGGTTTTGAATTCGATTGATATGTGAAGTGACTGGCGATGTTGTTTGTCTGCTTCTTTTAATCTGCTGAACTGATGAAATTGGAGTTTTTACAATGATTGAGGATGCTGACTTATGTTTGCAAGGTTAATTTCCTGGTGCATATACCTAGTGAACATAGGCTCTTCAGTTTGGAAACTATATATGCAAGAGAGTAATGACTTTACTGACTGTTTAAAGTTGAGATGTGAGAATTGAATGGGCAATCACTTTAGTCTTAATTCTGGGATAGTAGTAACGGTGTATGCTAAGGTTATCTATGCTTCCTAGTAATTGCTGCATAGATTTTAGAATCACATGGAATTACTAAGTCATATGGCTCTTGGATAGCCATGATCTTCTAGATGTTAAAAGTTTTGAATTTGTTGGAGAAAGCTTCGAGCAATTTTACAATATAAAATGTTGCACAAGTGTTGGATTCTGATTCTATTATATGATATTGAGGTTTGGAAGTCTTAGTTGGCTTTTAGTTTGTTCTTTGCTTGTAAAGCTACAATAATCAGTAAGAAAATGTTCAACATTTGAGAGTGAGAGTGAGCTTATGGTGATTTTGTTCAATGGTGGAAATATTGTTGTTGGGAGTATTAGATGAGCTGAATGGGTTGAGATTATGTTTCTTGGATGGAATTTGTGTATGAGAAGCCAAAATGTGTTAGATAGATACTTGAGAAATGAACTTTGTATATATATAAATTAGATGGATGTTTGAGTACTGAACTTTGAGAAGCCGAATGATTGGAGAAATCCAGTTCATTTCTTTAAAATATTGTTGTATTTACATATCTAGCAACACAATATGTCAGTAATCTCCTTGATTTAGATTTAAAGAAGTTCGCTTTGATATTGACGCTTGTATTTTGATTTGGGCTTTAATGATAGTACCATGATTTGTTGAGTACAGGGAACTTTTGGGAAATGAAATTTGGCTGAAGTATTAGTGTAACACTCTTATAAATGAGGCTTTGCACTGAATTGAAAAGTTTTGGTTTGAAGTTTGCAAAATATTTTGTAGATGATATTTTTTGAGGCTTAATGTCTTCATGGTAAACCATAGAATTGAAAAATTGTGAAGGAAGTTTTTAAATGGTTTAGGCAGGGAGTAAGAAGCTGAAGATAATTTAAAGGAAGATCTAGTATTAGGGGCTGTAGCCAATTTATGGTTATGAACCTCACAGAAGCAGGTTCTTCAGACAGCTAATTTTGTTTTGGGGATAGATAGCACTGTTACCCAGCCAGTGGCTGGATTTCAAACTTGCAATTTAGATGGGATGTCGTAGCAGGTAGGTTTATTACAACTCTGATCATTTGCTACTGTTGCTAGTTTATCTAACCCAGCCTACCAATTGGTTCTTTTGTCTCAATATTGATGAAATTGAAATGATTTCAGATTAGGATTTACCTGTGTTTCTGGTTTACCTCTTTTTTTTATGCCTATTGCATGGATTCTTGGAAGGATTGATAACCAGACATTTATATGTGTCTGATATTAAGTTTTATTATTGTATTCCAATAAATCATAGATGGCATGCTTTGCAATTGGAAAATAAGTAGAATAGAGTATCAAAAGAGAGCAAGAGGTAAAAGGGATGGTTTTTAGTGGAACTACATCAGATGGGCAGATCCATGTGATTCCTGTTAAATGAAAGAAACAAAACTTAACACTCTTGACAGTAGATCTATATATAAGTTAGATGCTTATGTAACTTATTTTAAGAGTTAAGAAAGGAATGGATGGTGGCAAAGTAGATTTTGCAATTGCTATAGGCCCTAACCGAAAGCTAAATGTGGCTAGCCTTAGGGCCAAAGCAAGGCAATACAAGGCCTAGGAAGGCAAGGCTAAGCCAAGACATCAAAAGGCCAAGCTAAAGCATCTCAATTCACAAGGCATCACAAAACATGATAACGTAGGGTGGGTCAAGGGATGAATGAGATGGTTTCCGGCACTAAGTAGCCCTCCTTGTAGGGGATGTATCCCGAGGTTATATAATACTTTTTGGAGCCATATATGACCATTGATCGGTCATATAAAGTCCCATGGTGGCCTTGAGTTAATGTAGGGAGGGTAAGTTACAAACTGCTAATTGGCAATATATAGGCAAAGCGCACAGTTCCAGCCACCCATGGGCTCCTGGGTGTTGTGGGGCCCATAGGAAGCACCGTGACCTGTTTTGTTTTTGGGTCGGTAAAGTCGAAAATTGGGCCAAAACTGAAGGCTATAGTCCACGCTTTTGGACCAATTTTGGAAACTTTTTCCAAAATCAAAGTGAATGCGTAGGGAGTATCCCGGGGTCATATAAATTAGTTTGGAACCATAACAAGCCTACATTAGGTGTATAAAGTCTTGAGAATGAGTTTGATCTAGCTATGTGGCTATTTTGGAATAATGTTGCATTGGTTGTAAAGAGGTGCAAGAGATAATCATGTAACTTACTTTATGAATTAAGAAAGGAATAGATGGTGGCAAAGTAGCTTTTGCAATTGCTATAGGCCCTAATTGAAGGCAGTGGATATCATTAAAGATAAAACTACTCTCTCAAGTCTCCCCGTCCTTTACTTAATTTTTTGGAATTTGTGAATTTACAATATTACAAATTTTGAATTGGACTAATTGCTCTTGTAGTTGCTGTACAAAGAGGACAAATGTCCTAACTCCATTAGCTGTTTTGAATCTGACTATAGATGCTTCTCAGATGTTCTCTTATCAACAAATACAAAGGCTTGGTCTACTGTTCTAGACTTACAGTAGATTTTTATGGTTTTCTGTGATAATTAGTTGTAAAAGGGAGAGCTATTTCGTAAACTAGAATTCTTTTAACTATAAGTTATTCTAAGTGCACCTTTTTTTTTTTTTTTTTTTTTTCCCAATTTTCTTTGTTCATTTAGGAGTAAATTATTTAGATTTCGTGTTTCTTTTCTATGTTTGGTCAAGTGCAGAATTTAGTTCAAAACTCTTTTATGTTGCCAGGCTCTTATAAAATTAAGGTGAGTAATTCATAACATCATCACAGACCCCCTCCTTCTCTACTCCCAACTCCACAGCGACCATTGTCATCCTCCTTCCCATCACCACCACCACAATCCTATTAATTGTAAATCTGGTATTTTTTTGGTCAAATTCAACCATTGGAGGTTTTTTTTTTTTGAAGCAAACTATTGGAGGTTTACAACTGAAATTTTAATACTTTATTGTAATCGTCGTTTAGTCCAAAGTCACGATGGAATCATCTATATGTTATATTGAACTAACAAGTTTTTTCCTTGTTGAATATGTATGTTTTCGAATCGGCATTTGTTATTAATTCATTGGAATTTGTATTGAAATCATATACTCCCTTTGTC